TTATAAAATCTTCTTTTTAAAGAACCCAAAGAGCTAGAGCTAAGATATTTAGCATGAGACATGTTCTAATGGGTGTCTACCAAGTATGTTCAAATAAAAGCCCTGGGGTCAAAACTGGCCCCGCCCTGGGGGTCATGGATTTTCCTTATATACATAGCAAAATCTTAAAAATCTTCTTTGAAAAAACCCAAATAAATAGAGTTTAGATATTAAGCATGAAACATTTTTAAGTAAATATCTACAAAGTTTGTTCAAATAAAAGCCCAGGGGTCAAAACTGGCCCTGCCCGAGGGGTGTCATTGTTTTTAACTATATGTGTATAGTAAAAACTTAAAAAATCTTCTTTTAAAAAAGAGTGAGACTAAATAAAGGATTGGAGCACCACACTAAATACCGTATTCCGGTAAATACCGGACAAGGCGCTTGAATCGTAAAATGCCAAAATCTTGCTTTTTTACGCAACGGAATGAACTTTAATAGGTCTAATTCATCTTTTCACACTGATTTATGTATGATAATGCATGAAAAATGTTAAAATCAGCGAAAAAAACGATATTTGTCTATTTTGTGATCATGATTTCTGCAAGCGTCTAGAGGTACTGCTCCAATCCTGTATTGAGCTAAATCCTTTAAAAAACCCAATGAGCTAGAACTTAGATGTTTTGCATGAAACATCTTCTTATGGGTGTCTACCAAGTCTGTTCAAATAAACAAATAAAAGCCCTTGGGTAAAAATTGGGCCGGGGGGGGGGGGGGGGGCTATATACAGGTGAGCGACCTCAGGGCCATCATGGCCCTCTTGTTCTTTTCTTCCTATGTTGAAACTTCTGGTTGCTATGGCAACAAATAGGCTGAAAATATGGCAAATTTTACACATAAACTGGATCCAGTGATAACGCAAAAAGTACTGGAAATATTTTTATGAAACTTGATATATGGATAGATGGCAGTATGGAGATTATGCACGTCTTTTTCTTTTCTTCCTATGTTGAAAATTCTGGTTGCTATGGCAACAAATAGACTGAAAATATGGCAATTTTTACACATAAACTGGATCCAGTGTTAACGCAAAAAGTAATAGAAATATTTTTATGAAACTTGTAATATGTGTAGATGGCAGTCTGGAGATTATACACGTCTTTTTCTTTTCTTCCTATGTTGAAAATTCTGGTTGCTATGGCAACACATAGACTGAAAATATGGCAAATTTTACACATAAACTGAATCCAGTGATAACTCAAAAAGTACTGGAAATATTTTTATGAAACTTGACATGTGGGTAGATGGCAGTCTTGAGATTATGCATGTCTTATCTGTTCTTCCTATTTTGAAAAAATATTGGTTGCCTTGGCAACAAATATGCTTAAAACATGGCAAATATAACAATATTTGTGATTAGTCAAAAAAGAGCTGAAACTTTTTATGAAATTGCATCTTTAATTCCAGAGTTATCTCCTCTTTTAAGAATTTTGCTTTTTAAAATGTTATATTTTGGTAACAGGGATGTTTCAAATATTAACTTTAGAGTGTCCTTCAGTCCGTCTGTCTGTCTGTTCATAAAAACTTTTTCCTGTGATCACTTTTAAAGAACATTTCCAACAAATTTACTTAAAATAGAGAAAAATTTACACATTAGTGAATGGCCAAATTAATGGCCCTTCAGAATGCTGCTGGGGTTCTATCCGGTAGGGGACTTATGGATTGCTTGCAATACTATGATAATTGCTTGTTTATTTACTCATACAGTCTTGATGTCTTTCATATTTGGTATGGACATTAGATAGCACTGATCTTTGTAGACACAAGGTCAAAAACTCAAGGTCACCAGTGCTACAAATTTGGGGATTATTGGGTTTAAGGTCAAAGTCCCCTGTCCAGGGAATAAAATTACAAAATAACTGTATTCTTCTATCTTGTCTTTTCTTGATTTTACATTGCATTTAAAAAGTTTATTTTTTTGGACTTAAAAGATTTCATTGGACCAGTAGATTTTTTAACTTATTTTAATTTTGTCACAGAAATTGAATTTTAGCAATGACTGTAATTTAACTTTGTGAACTTTTTTATCTGTGTATGAGAGCATGAAGAAGTCTGATAACTTATGATAATTTGTGTAACCTATAATTTGCATGATTATATGAACATTGCATTATATGAAAGAGATATCATAATTCTTTTATAATACTACATATGTTTATCTAATCTTGTATCAAAATAATACAAAATCTGATAATATAAAAGTAAAGTAAGAACTGGCTGGATGAATTAACCTAGACCTACTTTTAAATTATTGTTCTCATTTCAACTGCTTTAGTGTTAAGGCATTGTGTATTTTATGATGATTATGCTTTAAAGGGTATGGCCTGATATTTACATGTGTTTTAGGTAGTGTTTTTATGTATTCTAAAATATTTCAATTTGTGGGAGAACTGCAAATGACAGCATTTTGAACCATTTTGATTTATCTCAAACTAAATTCTAGTTGAAATATTCATTCTACTGAAACAGACTGAAAACAAGGCTAAATAGAAACAAAAAAATGCTAATTTACAAATAATTACAGAGACATGTGTGTATTTTTCTCGTTTAAGTTATTTCCCTAAAAATGATGTTTTCAGGCATATTATGAATTTGAAAGTTTGAATTATGCACTTATAATATTCAAAATGACTAATCTATATTTCTCAAATATTCATTACTTTGAATAAATAAGTATTAATTGATTGATTCAGATAGAAACATGTGAAACTATTGTCAAAGTTTTTTTTTATAAATCCAGTGCTTGACACAGAATAAGACTATCTTCTCCAATATTTTAATTGTTTCACAGTTAACAATCCTTTCACTCTCATTTGATTTAGGCTTTTTTAAAGTAAAATATTTGCAACCTTTTTGGACTTACTTACTTAAGGCTTTGTTAATGTAAAAACAAAAAACAAAAGCAAATGCATCATATTATCCTAAGACTAAGATTGTACTCATTGCGCATAAAAATAGAATAGTTCAATGTGTCTACCGTGTGTAAATTTGAAAAATATTTTCTTGCTTATTTTTCAGGACTGTATTGCCGGAATTAGCCTTACAGCGATAGCTTTGCCATGGATGTTGAGTGTGGTAGAATATGTGGAGTACTATCAGGTCACCAGTCCTTATTCGCCTTTTGTGTCGTTCCTGATACCTCTTCTGGCCTGTGTTTATTACCCAAAGCCAAAAGTTTGGAGTATAACACGTGGTGATACGTCTAACATAGTTTCAATAGGATCATGCTGTATCTTGTCGGCATGGTTGAACTTCCAGCTCGGATGGATGACGGAGACGCCCAAATCGTCGGTTCTTCAACCCCTGCCTACAATTACAGCCGAGTGGGTAACATACAGTCTTTTAAGAACAGTGTTAGGCGTTATAGCACTTGCAGGCTCTAGGATCATCTCGAAAAAGATTTTCGTGAAAATAGTATGTGCTTGCGCTGGTGTTGACACAAAAGATATAACAAAGCAACGGGAACTTGGTCTTGAGGTGCCAGTACGCTGGCTCACTATAGGCGGGCTAGCTGTCTCTACAGCTTTTACGGCTCCTTTATGCTTTAACTATCTAGGTTTACTGAGAGATGGTTTTTATAGTGAAGTTGGTCTATGAGATTTTTCTCTATTTTAGACAAAATATGGATGTTGCAATATACTTTAGGAATAGAATAAGAGATTGGGAGTAGAACACTTTTTGAAAATAGTGTCAATGTTTAATATCCGCCTTGATTTAATTAAAAGTAGATCACAATTTCATGATTCTGATACAATTAATGATAGTTTCATTTCATTGAAATAAAGATACAAAGATCTTCAGTTGAAAGCTAGTAGCTCAACTTAGTTGTATACTGAAGACGAGTTTTACATGAAATTTACACAAAAGATGTGTACATGTTTTTATTTTGTGTTAAAGCTATTCGGGCAATAGTTGTAAATATTGTAATTTTTTGTTTTATTTGCATTTATATGTATGTTATGTACATTGTTAATTCACTACGGAATACCATAAGAGAGTTTTTATGTTGTTCTGTAGAAGTCAGTACATAGTTTCAGTCATTTTTCACATGTTACTGGACTGCATTGTTGCCTCAGAACAAAAGTATTGTACCTAGTAAGATAAGGAAGGCATTAGCAGAATTCTTGAATTGTAACATTGACATGCTATGATACAAAATACTCTTCTGATCTAAGCTTTTCCTTTATCTTACATTTTTTCAGTATTTTTATCATTTTTTTCTTACATAGCTTAAACCCTTACTATGCATGGACTTGTCCAATTTTTAATCTGGACCATTCATCATTTTTAGTGCAAAATTTTAAAGTCTGTACAGACTGAAGTGATCAGTGCAGACCATGTTCATATGACACAAAAGATGCCGGCTGAAACTGGTCTGAACTGGTCACATGGGTAGTCTCAAGCAGTTTCTGCCAGCAGGCTAAGGGTTAAAATTGATGATTGTTTTAGAAGGTTTTGATAATGTTTGTAATTCTGAATTCATTTTGTACTATAATTTACTTGATATTGTCAGAATGTTGAATTTTATTTCTTTCAAAAGATATTGATGTTTTATTGAGTGAATGATTATGTATTTTTATGAACTTTTTTTTCTCAGTTGAATGATTAAAATTGTTTTTGGAAATAATATGCAGTCTTATTAGTTTATCATTTATGTAATCTAGATAATCTAGATGATTGCTTATCTAGTGGAATTTGTAGAAGCAGGACAGCCTACATATTCACACAATCATGTAGACTGTATGATTCAAACATTTTGATATAAAAGTTCATTGTATTAAAGTGAATTGGTCTATAATGGAAGGTCTGTTAAATGCCATGAATAATTACATTGACAGTATTTAGTATTAGATATAACAACAAACAACAAAGTAATTATTATATATGTATGTTATTGGCAAGTGTGAGATACATGATCCAATATTACATTTATTTTATTTAGCAGATAATAAAACGTAATATAACAAAATATTATTATTCATCAGTTAATTATTGATTTTGAATAACTTAGAACTTTATCAACATTTTATTTTCAAACTGCATTTTATAAGAATATCCGAAGGATACATTTCTATTGTTTTTACATCAACATTTGAAATACTAATGGAAAATGTGCCCATTGTAGACCAATCCACTTTGACAATGGACTGCAAGTGTTTGAACTTCAAAGGAGGGCAAATTTATTTACACACCTTGCACAGGCTAAAGGTTACATTGGTCTATAAGATTGATACATGAAGTAGTGTCATTATTATCATTATTTGGTATTACAAAATATTTTCCATTATATTTTAAAAGCTCTTTGTATCTTCGAGATTTATATGTTTGATATACAGTAATCCCGGTAAGCATGTTGTTATTGCATACTAGTATTTATAATAAGGTTATTGACTAGCATATGGTAAGGTTACTCACCCTTCTTCAGTTTGTCTAGAAGACACTGCATATTCTACATAATTTTGAATATTGACCTCTGCAAATATTGAAGTCCGATAAGGTCAAATGGACTTCACCCTAGGGGTCATGGGTATTTGGTGCATTGTCTAGTGGACAACTACAAAGTTTGATCAATTTATAGCCTTGGAGTCAAATGAGCTTGCCCTGGGGTGGTTAGTGGCCTGCCATGGGTTTTCATTATGAAACATTCTATTTGACATACAGCTATAAAATTTGAACCATAATGGTTTTTGATATAGAATAGAACTCTAATTAGTTAAGATATACTGACTTAGTGACTTACTTTTTTGTTTCTTTTTAGATACAGCTGTGAAATTTTGATGATCAGTCTGTACAGTAGATAAAAAATAGATTGTTGATAATAGTTGACCTCTATTCTGACCTAGGGACCTACCTCCAAATTCACTTAATTCTACTGCATTATTCTGTTCTTACTATTTAATGTATAATGCGGTTACATAGCAATTTTTTTACCAATGCAATCTTGTTTTGAGTTGGGTTTTAAGTTGGACCAACACTATTTGCAATATAAAGTCTTACAAACTTTACTGATGGAGGAAGACCTCCAGTTCACACCTTTGTGCATTATTTAAGGTATTAGGACCCTAATGGGCACTATCAGGAACTAAAGAATTGACATCATAGGTCAGATGTATACCTTAAAGTACACCTGTATGCAAAATTTAAACAAAGTTTACCGTACAGAAATCAAGTTATGGCCACTTTTCTGAACTCAAGCTAGGATGTTACGAGGGCTTTTTTTTAGAAATGAGGACCTTTAAATAATCTGCAATAACATTCTAATGAAAAATGTTTTCCCATGAATTTTTGGTAAGAAACAAATAGTACCATTCAGCTAACAATCCACATAAGCAAAATTATGGTTTCTACTTAAAAATTATGAAATCTGTATAAAAATGTTACCCTATCCCACCCATTTTTACCATATGTCTGACCATTTTTCTATTTAGGGAGCCTTATTAAAAAAATTCTTAAAATTTACCCAAATGAGTGCCTGTTTTCAAAGTTTCCCTTAATTTTTAGAAAAGTATATTGGTTGATCTTGTAAAATATGAAATACTTTTACCGTTTAGTTTTGATTATATTACACTTTGAAAATATCAGGTACCATATTTATTACTAGATTTAGCATAATTTAGCCAATAAATAACTATAAAAATTAAAAATTCAAAATTACACACTTTTTTCTTTCCATATGGGACATGAGAGATACAAAAATAATGTTAAAAGAAAAAAAGAAAGAAAAAAAAAGTTGACCCTTCTGGGGATTGAACCCGTGGCCCTCATTTTCAATGTAGTTAACAGTAATTCTAGCCTATTTGAATACTCTTCAAAGAGGAGGTAATGCATTAGGGTGCTAATACCTTAAGGCAGGAGTAGACACCTGAGTAGAAGCACTGACATTCTGTAAGCTGTCTGGATAAATGAAAGAATCTAAGGTCCATATCAGGACTTCAACCCATAGCAAATTGAAACAACTTATCTAAAAATAGCTTATTTAACCGTTAAAAAGGGTGAGGCCCACTTAGAGTAGTCTCAAGAAATTTCCAAATTTCCATAAGTGCATGGGTCCTTAGGTTTGTTGTTGATAAATGGCTTTATTTGGTGTTTGGGAGATAACTGTGTCACTTTTGATATGAAAGTTCAATGTTCAACCATATATGATAATGTATTATCACTTGTTTAAAACTAATGATAATAAATTATCACATGTTATCAAATTGATGACAGTATGTAATCACTTTTTAACACCACAGTACTCAGTACCTCATGAAGTACAGCAAGATATTAACATAGCTCTAGTATTATTGATTAATGTTTAGAAGTTTGAATGTAAAATCATTGGATCAATAATTCTTTAAGTGAAGCATTAATTCATATTCAACATAAGAAATTGAATGTACAAATTGTCTTGTAAAATATGCAACATGACCATTTTGAAATTTCATGATTGAACATCTCGAGGGCTTGATACTAAAGGATTGTAACTCATATTAAATAAAGAAGGAGTTACAACCCTTTCGCACCAAGCTGTTGATATATTAATACAAAAATGTGGGTAAATATTTCACTGTTAAGCTTATAATCACATTGTATTAATGCAAAATATTACATGCTGAATGCTGTTTTTACTTGTGTAGAATGATGATTAGATGAAATATATTTTGGGCACTAATTTGACTTCTTCCTCTTCTTTTGATTAAAGAGGGACTCTGTTCTCTGTGTTTGTTTTCATGTGAGGAAGCTATTCAGCTGGCTTACTGGAGGTCAGTTGTTTTACTGTTGATATATACTTATGCCTCAAATAATGCACAAAGGAGAATTTGAGGTCTTCCTTCATCAGTTCAACAGGAATGTCAGCATGTGACATGTATTGTGAAAGTGTGACTTAACCCTTACCCTGCTGGTGTTTAAAAAAAAAAAATGACTGCCACCAGTATATTGCCAGACTAGCCTTCACATTTGACAGTCTGACCAGGCTCTATAACTGATCCCTGACTGAATTTTCATTTGGATATCTCAAAAATTGATATCAGACAGTTGCAGTAATGAATGCTATAAGAAATTTAGAATGGTAAAGAATGAAATAAAGGGTTTACAATTGACTGTGGGACAAACCCATCAGATAATCTAATATGGTGAGGGTTCAAATATTTTATCGAAAAACTTAATCTTATTACGTCTGTAAACAGTATTTCAAATCAATTTTTCATGGAATGTTTTATCATGCTTAAAGTTGGTGTTCTATTGATTTTTGAAATATAGGTTAGATAAGTGCATAAACTTCTTTTTCTACTTGAGGATAAAGTGTGTTTTATAAGTTCGAGTGCGCATGTACAGACATGGATCCTCTTAACATTTGTACTTTAGCAACCTTCGTACTCTGGGTAGTACATATCAACTGTCTCCATCTGTTCAAAACACATTTTTTGTGTTTAAAACTTAAAAATTTATAAATGGGCATTATGTAATATTTATTTAAATGCAATACATTTACAAAATATGTAAATTAAAGTTTAAATTACTTAAGTTATACCACAATTTCAGTATAGGTTAGTGTTTGTTACTCGGCATTAATGAAATTAAATTTGTCTTGAATGGCTATGCCACCACTCGACAGATTTAAAGGAATTAACACTGACTTAAAAGACACTAACCTATTTAGTGGTGGTTATTATTTTTTAGCTCACCTGTCACAAAGTGACAGGGTGAGCTTTTGTGATCGCTTTTCGTCCGGCGTCCGTCCGTCTGTCGTCCGTCCGTCGTCCGTCCGTCCGTCCGTAAACTTTTACTTTAAATGACATCTCCTCATAAACCACTAAGCCAATTTCATCCAAACTTCACAGGAATGTTCCTTTGGTGGTCACCTTTAAAAATTGTTCAAAGAATTTAATTCCATGCAGAACTCTGGTTGCCATGGCAACCAAAAGAAAAAACTTTAAATATCTTCTTTTAAAAAACCCATAGAGCTAGAGCTTAGATATTTGGCATGGAACATCTTCTAGTGAGTGTCTACCAAGTTTGTTCAAATAAAAGCCCTGGGGTCAAAATTGGCCCCGCCCCAGGGGATCATTGATTTTCCCTATATGCATATAGTAAAAACTTAAAAAATCTTCTTTTAAAGAACCCATAGAGCTAGAGCTAAGATATTTAGCATGAAACATCTTCTAATGGGTGTCTACCAAGTTCGTTCAAATAAAAGCCCTGGGGTCAAAATTGGCCCCGCCCCAGGGGGTCATTGATTTTCCCTATATGCATATAGTAAAAACTTAAAAAATCTTCTTTTAAAGAACCCATAGAGCTAGAGCTAAGATATTTAGCATGAAACATGTTCTAATGGGTGTCTACAAAGTTTGTTCAAATAAAAGCCCTGGGGTCAAAATTGGCCCTGCCCCGGGGGTCATTGATTTTCCTTATATGTGTATAGCAAAAACTTAAAAAAATCTTCTATGTAAAAACCCATATAGCTAGAGTTTAGATATTAAGCATGAAACATCTTCTAGTGAGTGTCTACAAAGTTTGTTCAAATAAAAGCCCTGGGGTCAAAATTGGCCCCGCCCCAGGGGGTCATTGATTTCCCCAATATGCATATAGTAAAATCTTAAAAAATCTTCTTTTAAAGAACCCAAAGAGCTAGAGCTAAGATATTTAGCATGATACATGTTCTAATGGGTGTCTACAAAGTTTGTTCAAATAAAAGCTCTGGGGTCAAAATTGGCCCCACCCCGGGGGTCATTGATTTTCCTTATATGTGTATAGCAAAAACTTAAAAAATCTTCTTTGAAAAAACCCAAATAGCTAGAGTTTAGATATTAAGCATGAAACATCTTCTAGAGAGTGTCTACCAAGTTTGTTCAAATAAAAGCCCCTGGGGTCAAAATTGGCCCCGCCCCAGGGGGTCATGATTTTCTCTTTATGCATATACAT